TAATCTGTCCTATAGATACAGTAAATATGGTAATCTGTCCTATAAATACAATATATATGGTAATCTGTCCTATAAATACAGTTTATATGTTAATCTGTCCTATAAATACAATATATATGGTAATCTGTCCTATAGATACAGTAAATATGGTAATCTGTCCTATAAATACAATATATATGGTAATCTGTCCTATAAATACAGTTTATATGGTAATCTGTCCTATAAATACAGTTTATATGTTAATCTGTCCTATACTAGTACTTACTATGGACAAATAAAACATTAACAACGCAGTCATATCATTCTGATTTTTCCTTTTTTTAGAAAATTTAATTTATGAAAATGGTCTGTTGGAAGAAAAGAATGTTCGTTTTTTAAGGTTTTGATGGAGATCATTATACTAGTATTATTAATAGATGAAGGATATTTTTTTTCAAATCCGACGGTCAGTATTTGTAATGGTTTTATTCATTATCATTATAATTTAAAATCGAAAATAACATATTCTTGTTTAAGGATTAAAAGGGTCATTCTCAGATAAGCATATAAAGTTTTCTGCAAACTTCAACCAATCTCTAATCTGAAAATTCAACTTAACGTATTTTAGAACTGTATATTTGTGGCTTGTTTTATGTTGTTACGTGATTTTATATCCGTTTCTTGCTTGCTAATTTAGTGATGTAATATGACTTTCGATGTTGATTTCAATTACAGCTCAGGTTAAAGTTATCTATTTAGATAGAATTGAAATGAACAAAATGTACAAATGCGTCAACACCCCAACCTAACATACATGTTTATCAAAGCGTCAACACCCAAAGCTAAAATACTTGTTGATCACAGCGTCAACACCCAAAGCTAAAATTCTTGATGATCACAGCGTCAACACCCAAAGCTAAAATACTTGTTGATCACAGCGTCAACACCAATGCCAAACTATATCATAGCGTCAACATGTGAGGACTGAAACTGAACAAAAAGTCATTACAAAAATACAAGTACAGGTACTGAGGGGATATGGGAAAGACGTCATAGAATGATAAATGGTGTATATAATATTCAAATAGGAATTAAAACAATATTTCACCTGTTTGATATTTGACAGGTTAAAATCTGTAAAGACGTACATTTGCTTTTCCTAAAATAGTGATATACAAATTGCAAGGTAAATCAACCATAGGAATAATAATAAATAATGATATTTAAGACACCTTCTTAGTTGAAATACATCGTTTCTAACCCTAAGCCAGGAATTGTCATTTGTCAGTAACCTGACGTCATTTTCACGAAGAGTCATAGCAAAAAATGTCATTCACACTCTAACCAATTTAGAAAATTCGTGTTCTATTATACCGTGTTCTATTAAAAGGAGTCGGGCTACGCTTTTTTATTTAAAGACATGACATTATTTACGACAACAATTTGAACTACTACTTCAGTATCGATCTAAATTGTACCCCGTGATCTATTTTGTTAATCATTGTCATTTGAGTATGTTCATTTCGAACTATTTTTTTTATTTCTCTCGTAGTTTTAATCTACTTTTAGGAAGCAGTAAGTTAATATACACATGTATGGGAACATTTAAATGATCACCGTATTTTCGCAATTATTCGTATAACGTTTGTGTCTACTTTATGTTATACTGATTAATATCTTCATATCAACTGACAGTCAATTTCCTTTTAAATAAGGTGACGGAGATACCAAACAGAAACGGAAAAGCGAAGACGAGGATTCAAATCCGGACAACCAAGCAAAGAAGAAAAAAGCGCGAACCACATTCACCGGCAGACAAATATTTGAACTGGAGAAACAATTTGAACTAAAGAAGTATCTCTCGTCAGCTGAACGGGCAGAAATGGCGGCACTGCTAAACGTAACAGAAACACAGGTCAGAGTCAAAACGTTTTTACATCAAGATAATAGAACAAATCAAATTTATTACACGAATGAATATATTTCGTATCTCATTTTAGAAACTTCTATTTCTAAAGTTGGTAAATCATCCAATGATACTTTTTTTTATCAAGACTTTAAATTATAATTTAGTTATCATTTTATGTCAATATCATTGTTTAAGTAAATGAAGTAGTTATCAAGAAACAACGAAATACAAATCAAACCATAATATTAAAACACATTGGAGACAATATCAAAATTTGTTATCAACAAAACTAGGAAATCACAACACAAACAATATCAAAATATGTAACCAACAAAAATGTTAAAACACATCACAAACAATATTAAAATATGTAACCAACAAAAATATTAAAACACATCACAAACAATATCAAAATATGAAACCAACAAAAATATTAAAACACATCACAAACAATATTAAAATATGTAACCAACAAAAAATTAAACCACATCACAAACAATATCAAAATATGAAACCAACAAAAATATTAAAACACATCGCAAACAATATCAAAATATGTAACCAACAAAAATATTAAAACACATCACAAACAATACCAAATATGTAACTAACAAAAATATTAAAACACATCGCAAACAATATCAAAATATGTAACCAACAAAAATATTAAAACATATCACAAACAATATCAAAATATGTAACCAACAAAAATATTAAAACACATCACAAACAATATCAAAATATATTACCATGGTTAAACACATCACAAACAATATCAAAATATATTACTATCGTTAAACACATCACAAACAATATCAAAATATATTACCATCGTTAAACACATCACAAACAATATCAAAATATATTGCCATGGTTAAACACATCACAAACAATATCAAAATATATTACCATGGTTAAACACATCACAAACAATATTATTCAATTATAGCCTTTGGCTGAGGTCGATACCTGGATTTATCGACCCGAGAAAAGATATATTAACAGAGGACGCAGTCCGAGGTCAATATATCTTTTCTCGGGTCGATAAATCCAGGTATCGACCGAAGTCAAAGGCTACAATTGTTTTATTATTTTCAAAACAGCAATGTTAGCAATCTGAAAAAAACCACAGCAAAAAGCTACAGAAGCGGGACGGTACGTTCGTTTGGATTCACGTCATAATTCTATTTTTAGAAACATCCAGTCCTTCAACAAAAATCACGCGCTCCAAGTCAATATCGGTTTTTATCGGTGGACACGTGATTCACTTCTGGCCAATATCAAAATATATATTCATCGTTAAACACATCACAAACAATATCAAAATATGTATTTGTCGTTAAACACATCACAAACAATATCAAATATATAAGTATCGTTAAACACATCACAAACAATATCAAAATATATATTTATCGTTAAACACTTCACAATTAATATCAAAATATATAATCATGGTTAAACACATCACAAACAATATAAAAAATACATTTATCGTTTAACACATCACAAACAATATCAATATATATATTTATCGTTAAACACATCACAAACAATTTCAAAATATATATTTATGGTTAAATCAATCGCAATCAATATCAAAATATGTAACAATAGTTATATACACCAATACTAAAACACGTCATAAACAACATTAATTACGTTACTAACCAAAAACAAAATCTATTAAAAGGCATTCCAAACAACATCAAAATACATTAAAACGCGTTACAAACAACATCGAAATACAATAAAAACACATTCCAAACAACATCAAAATACATTAAAACACATTACAAACAACATCAAAATACATTAAAACGCATTGCAAACAACATTGACATACATTACCAACAAAAATACTAAAACATTTTACAAACAACACCAAAATATTAAAGCAACTTTTTAAATACATTACAAACAGCACCAAAATGCATAACTAACATTATTAAAATACATTTATAACAATATCAAAATACATAACTACAAATTTCATATCAAATGAACAGTATTAAAACGTGTACATCATTATACATACCTGACGTTATTGTAATACTGACAATACTTACCGCTCCTACAGTTTACATGTACTATTTATGGTCTGTGTAACTGTAATTTAAAGAATTTTGTTTAAATAATGTTGGTACACAGGGTACACAGACATCCAGAGGAAATGTTCGTCAATAAAAGCTTAATAAAATAAGTTTTAAGTTTAAAACCTTGGCAGACAAAAGAGTAAATGTTTTTTTCTATTATATATATATATAGTATGTCACTTAAGTAATGCAAATATCGAACATTAGTTCTAATAGTACCGTTGTTTGGCTTCGTTGAGTTTATAACAATCATATTTACCAATTCAGGACAATACTACAATTAACTCAACAGTCCTATCGGATCCCGGAGGATTTCCGTTCCTTGTAATTATAGATATATCACTTTAACAGGCTGGTGGTGTATCTAGCTATATGTTCTCAACTTATGTCTGAGGTGTTACTTAGAAATCCTAACACATTTACCGCCTGAAGGTGTTGTTTCCAGTACGCTGTATACCCATTCCGTGATGTATTGCAGGTCTTTGACTAACAACCTGTCATAAAGGAGGCAATCTATTGTTCGTTTACAAGTTTATGCATTTTTCATTTTTAGGTGAAGATTTGGTTTCAAAACAGACGAACAAAATGGAAGAAACAGGAAAATATTTCTAATGCTGAAGCGGCGGAACATAAAGTACACGTCGACAAAACGCACGACATGGCACGTGCGTCTGTCAACACTAAAGCGGGAAAGTCTGAATCCGTGTCTGTGCCAGTCGTTCAGATCTCTTTAAAACAAACAATTTTTACACAACAAATAAACATGGAAGGAGATATCGTAAAACCATCACATGATTCCTCAATTTCAATCAACCATTCCGATAATTCCAACCCCAGACATGACCCCTCATCAGAGTGTGAAAATTCAAAAGACTCAAATGTTCATTCGGAACACGAATCTTCGGGGCCTTGTGTTGACGTTGACGTCACTGAAACTCGTGTACCAGAAAGTAATGATGTTTTAGACGATGAATCGTCAAAAGATATTCCACCAACAATTTGTTCTCAACCGTTCCAATGACATCGTGACTGTGTATGATTTATATACGTTATACATTTGTATTGTTATTATGTCTCGTCGTATTTATATCTAAAATAGGTCGCCACCATTTAATTTATTAAGATTTACTGTAAAATGTGGTTTGGTAGGTGCAACAAAGCAACCAAACTACTTAAACAATGATAACATTGAGTCATATTCGGTCCTACAAATATTTTCTTCAATTTTGATAACATGTGCCACATTATAACTCTACCATTTTGTGATACAAACATGACGTTTTATTGACCTTTCAATTAGGACAAAAATGTCATCACAGGACTAGTACAGTAAAACACTGCAATAAAGAAGTTTCGTAACATTTGATGTGAAGACGAATAGGCAGTAATACGTCAGATGTACGTTATAATCTCACCTACACTGGTCACACTATCAGAGGCTTTTAATACGTCAGATGTACGTTCTAATCTCACCTACACTGGTACCACTATCGGAGTCTCTGAACAGGCTGGTGAAGCTAGTTTATTCCAGAGGTGTATCACTGTGTTATTCTGCTTTCGACATTGTTTACATATAATTAACATTGTCCAACAGTTTGGATATACATTTTAACTATATTTGTAAAAGGACGAAGTAGATACTAGTTTCAAAAGTAAAATTGGCACCTTGCCATTCCCGACCATATCAACTCCGCTTACCGTTTCCACTAGTGTCCCAATAGAGTAGGTTGGAGACTGGAAATTTGCTGAAAAAACTATTTATCTGAAAACAAATGTGTTCTCACATCGACCGAGATGAAGGCCTTTAATAGCCTAGGTTGGTCATTTAATTGACCACACACGTCAGTGGCACCGGACCAAAAGCTTGAAAGGAAACAGATGACAGACCAGACATTTTCTAAACAAGTCATTAAAAGTAACGACGTTTTGTGTAATAGGTCCCGACTGTGTTTTCCTTAGTAGGATGTGTAACGGCAGGCATTGTACTCGGGCTAAGGGCACACTCCGATGTTGTTACTTAATGTACACTGTATTCTTTGTCTGTTGGTGTTTATACGTTGTGGCTGTGTATTATTTCTATGATAACAGAGTCAGTATACAAAATAAAAGTGCTCAAAGTTTAACTTGCGTCATTTTTCTTTTGATTTTTTTCCCTCTTTTTCTCTTACATCAATTTACTTTTTTTTTCGAGTATTGTAGCATGTTCATTGGTCAAAGCCGGGGTAATCTCGATATAAGGATTATTGATTTTCATTTATCTAAAAATATCACCTTGTTTGTAACACGCGTTTTCATTGGTTTGTGTTTAAAGTCAATCAAGTGAAAACCGAGAAAATAAAAATACAATATTTGATGACATCGTACACAGTGTACTACCTTTTTTTTTTTTTTTTTTTTTTTTTTTATATAGAACGTAGTCATTTATTACAAAATCGTCTGCAACCATGTTTTTTGACACATTGGAAATTGAGCAATTTATTTGATTTTAGGACAGATGATATGGAAATATTCGCAATGACTAGCGTCATTATTTGCAAAAGTACCTTTAAATAAGCCTGTAGAAATTCGGCTCAACTAGACTGGCGCGTCATTACATGCGTGCGGTGGACTCAAAACACGAAAATAAATTGATTGATCAACATAAATATCATTGCATATTTCAAAATACATGTTATAGTTGTTTTAAAGAAAAATATGACATATAGTTTTTATGGTTTTCTTTCTTGGTTTAAAGCTAAGTTATAAGGGTTGGACTAGATAGTAAATTGGTCTAAGGTTGTATAAACCGAACAATGAAGTGCACTCTGAAGAAATGCACTTCGGTTTCAAGTCTATACAACCATAGACGATAGGTGTACAGGGGTAGTCGCGCTCCAAGTCGTTTGAGCGACATGGTGTAAAGGGGTAGTGACATGGTGTAAAGGGGGAGTGACATGGTGTAAAGGGGTAGTGACATGATGTAAAGGGGTAGTGACATATTGTAAAGGGGGAGCGACATGGTGTAAAGGGGTAGTGACATGGTGTAAAGGGGTAGTGACATGGTGTAAAGGGGTAGTGACATGGTGTAAAGGAGTAGTGACAGGGTGTACAGGGGTAGTGACATGGTGTAAAGGGGGAGCGACATGGTGTAAAGGGGTAGTGACATGGTGTAAAGGGGTAGTGACATGGTGTAAAGGGGTAGTGACATGGTGTAAAGGAGTAGTGACAGGGTGTACAGGGGTAGTGACATGGTGTAAAGGGGGAGCGACATGGTGTAAAGGGGTAGTGACATGGTGTAAAGGGGTAGTGACATGGTGTAAAGGGGTAGTGACATGGTGTAAAGGAGTAGTGACAGGGTGTACAGGGGTAGTGACATGGTGTAAAGGGGGAGCGACATGGTGTAAAGGGGTAGTGACATGGTGTAAAGGGGTAGTGACATGGTGTAAAGGGGTAGTGACATGGTGTAAAGGAGTAGTGACAGGGTGTACAGGGGTAGTGACATGTTGTAAAGGGGGAGCGACATGGTGTAAAGGGGTAATGACATGGTGTAAAGGGGTAGTGACATGGTGTAAAGGGGTAGTGCCATGGTGTAAAGGAGTAGTGACATGGTGTAAAGGGGGAGCGACATGTTGTAAAGGGGGAGCGACATGGTGTAAAGGGGTAATGACATGGTGTAAAGGGGTAGTGACATGGTGTAAAGGGGTAGTGACATGGTGTAAAGGAGTAGTGACATGGTGTAAAGGGGGAGCGACATGTTGTAAAGGGGGAGCGACATGGTGTACAGGGGTAATGACATGGTGTAAAGGTGGAGCGGCATGGTGTAAAGGAGTAATGACATGGTGTAAAGGGGTAGTGACATGGTGTAAAGGGGTAAATACATGGTGTAAAGGGGTAGTGACATGGTGTAAAGGGGGAGCGACATGGTGTACAGGGGTAGTGACATGGTGTAAAGGGGTAGTGCCATGGTGTAAAGGGGAGCGACATGGTGTACCGGGTAGTGACATGGTGTAAAGTGGTAGTGACATGATGTAAAAGGGGAGGGACATGGTGTAAACGGGTAGCGACATGGTGTAAAGGGGTAGTGACATGATGTAAAGGGGGAGCGACATGGTGTAAATGGGTAATGACATGGTGTAAAGGAGTAGTGACATACTGTAAAGGAGAAGTGACATGGTGTAAAGGAGTAGTGACAGGGTGTAAAGGAGTAGTGACATGGTGTAAATGTGTAATGACATGGTGTAAAGGGGTAATGACATGGTATAAAGGGGTAGTGACATGGTGTAAGGGGTAGCGACATGGTGTAAAGGGGTAGTGATGACATGATGTTAAGGAGTAGTGACGTGTTGTGAAGGAGTAGTGACATGGTGTAAATGTGTAATGACATGGTGTAAAGGGGTAGTGATGACATGATGTTAAGGAGTAGTGACGTGTTGTGAAGGAGGGTAGTGACATGGTGTAAAGGGAGAGCGACATGGTGTAAAGGAGTAGTGAAAGGGGGTTAAATGATAGTGACATGATGTTAATGAGTAGTGACAGGGTGTGAAGGGGTAGGGACATGGTGTAAAGGGGTAGCGACATGGTGTAAAGGAGTAGTGAAAGGGTGTGAAATGATAGTGACATGATGTTAATGAGGAGTGACAGGGTGTGAAGGGGTAGTGATATGGTGTAAAGGGGTAGTGGCATGATGTAAAGGGGGAGCGACATGATCTAAAGGGAGAGTGACAGGGTGTAAAGGGGTAGTGACATGACGTAAAGGGGTAGTGACATGATGTAAAGTGAGAGTGACATGGTGTAAAGGGAGAGCGACATGGTGTAAAGGGGTAATGACAAGGTGTAAAGGGGTAGTGACATTGTGGAAATGGAGAGTAACATGTTGTAAAGGAGTAGTGACATGGTGTAAAGGAATAGTGACATGGTGTAAAGGAGTATTGACAGGGGGTTAAATGACAGTGACATGATGTTAAGGAGTAGCGACGTGTTGTGAAGGAGTAGTGACATGGTGTAAAGGAATAGTGACATGGTGTAAAGGAGTATTGACAGGGGGTTAAATGACAGTGACATGGTGTTAAGTAGTAGTGACAAGGTGTAAAGGGGTAGTGACATTGTGGAAATGGAGAGTAACATGTTGTAAAGGAGTAGTGACATTGTGTAAAGGAGTAGTGACAGGGGGTTAAATGACAGTGATATGATGTTAAGGAGTAGTGACATGGTGTAAAGGAGGAGTGACATGGTGTAAAGGAGTAATGACATGGTGTAAAGGGGTAATGACATGGTGGAAATGGATAGTAACATGTTGTAAATTGGTAGTGAGATGGTGTAAAGGGGTAGTGACATGGTGGAAATGGATAGTAACATGTTGTAAAGGAGTAGTGACAGGGTGTAAAGGAGTAGTGACAGGGTGTGAAGGGGTAGTGATATGGTGTAAAGGGGTAGGGACATGGTGTAAAGGGGTAGTGATGACATGATGTTAAGGAGTAGTGACGTGTTGTGAAGGAGGGTAGTGACATGGTGTAAAGGGAGAGCGACATGGTGTAAAGGGGTAATAACATCGTGTAAAGTGGTAGTGACATGATGTAAAGGGGAGCGACATGATGTAAAGGGAGACTGACATGGTGTAAAGGGGTAATGACATGGTGGAAATGGATAGTAACATGTTGTAAATTCGTAGTTGACATGGTGTAAAGGGGTAGTGCCATGGTGTAAAGGAGTAGTGACATCCTGTAAAGGAGTAGTGACATGGTGTAAATGTGTAATGACATGGTGTAAAGGAGCAGTGTCTTGGTGTAAACGGGTAGTACATGATGTAAAAGGGGAGGGACATGGTTTAAACGGGTAGCGACATGGTGTAAAGGGGTAGTGTCATGATGTAAAGGGGGAGTGACATGGTGTACACGGATAGTGACATGGTGTAAAGGAGTATTGACAGGGGGTTAAATGACAGTGATATGATGTTAAGGAGTAGTGACATGGTGTAAAGGGGTAGTAACATGATGTAAAGGGGTAGTGACATAATGTAAAGTGGTAGTGACATGATGTAAAGGGGGAGCTACATGGTGTATAAGGTTCGTGACATGGTCTAAAGGGGTAGTGACATGGGGTAAGGGGGAGCGACATGGTGTAAAGAAGAAGTGACATGGTGTAAATGGATAGTAACATGTTGTAAATTCGTAGTTGACATGGTGTAAAGGGGTAGTGACCTGGTGTAAAGGGGTAGTGACATGACGTAAAGGGGTAGTGACATGATGTAAAGTGAGAGTGACATGGTGTAAAGGGAGAGAGACATGGTGTAAAGGGAGAGTGACATGGTGTAAAAGGGTAATGACATGGTGTAAAGCATGGTGTAAAGGGGGAGCGACATGATGTAAAGGGGTAATAACATGGTGTAAAGGGATAGTGACATGTTGTAAAGAAGTAGTGACATGGTGGAAATGGATAGGAACATGTTGTAAAGGAGTAGTGACAGGGTGTACAGGGGTAGTGACATGGTGTAAAGGAGTATTGACAGGGGGTTAAATGACAGTGATATGATGTTAAGGAGTAGTGACATGGTGTAAAGGAGAAGTGACATGGTGTAAAGGAGAAGTGACATACTGTAAAGGAGAAGTGACATGGTGTAAACGGGTAGTACATGGTGTAAACGGGTAGCGACATGGTGAAAAGGGGTAGTGACATGATGTAAAGGGGAGCGACATGATGTAAAGGGGTAATAACATGGTGTGGGTAGTGGGATGGTCTAAAGGGGTAGTGACATGGGGTAAAGGGGGAGCGACATGGTGTACAGGGGTAGTGACATGGTGTAAAGGGGAGCGACATGATGTAAAGGGGTAGTGACATGGTGGAAATGGATAGGAACATGTTGTAAAGGAGTAGTGACAGGGTGTAAAGGAGTAGTGACAGGGTGTAAAGGAGTAGTGCCATGGTGTAAAGGGGTAGTGACAAGGTGTAAGGGGGAGCGACATGGTGTAAAGAAGAAGTGACATGGTGTAAATGTAAAAGGGGAGGGACATGGTTTAAACGGGTAGCGACATGGTGTAAAGGGGTAGTGATGACATGATGTTAAGGAGTAGTGACAGGGTGTGAATGGGTAGTGACATGGTGTAAAGGGAGAGCGACATGGTGTAAAGGGGTAATGA